TTTTTTGAAATTTTAAAAGAATTTTTGAAGCTTTTCAAAGTTTTAAATTCACTTGCAGACATGGTAATAATTATAAAGTAGTTACACCTGTTTCATATGATTAAATATATAATAAATATAACAAACATTGATCTGGTAATACTTAATTTTAACACTATAAATAAGTGTACTTACTAATAAACCCAATTAATTTTAAATTATCTGTTGTTTTGTGTCCCACATAAAAAATATAGATAAGTAAACATAAAATTAAATTGAAAATTATAGAATAAGTAGATAACCACTTTGATGTACATTATATTCCAAATGTTATTCATCAGTTATCAGCAAGGCTCGGGACTTAATGCGCATACATATGCATAATAAAATATCGATTTTTAATTTGACATCTTTATGGGTATAAAAAAAACAAATATGTGTCGAATCCGATTTCTTCTATCTTTTTCTCGAACAAATATGTAAATGCATAAAAAGTCCCGATCCTTACTTTTTCAGTAAGTCACTGTTATATTTATGTCCAATTTGAATAAACAAAAATAAACATTTGTAAAAAGGATTCTAAGCAAAGATGATTTGTTCCTATGTATTTTTTAATATATTAATATTTAAATAAACTATTTAATAATAATTATAGAAATGTTAAGTTAAATTGATTTTTACCAAGATCATTATATATAAAAATATCGTAAGTAGGTAAGTAATATATTAACATGCGTCAGATGTTTCAAGTAGTCCTGAATAATGTTATTTAATTTGAAAAAAAATAATTAAAATTATAAATCTTCGTTTAAATATACAATTTTATCGAATTGAACTTAAAATATTACTTGCCTTACTTGTATTTTATTTTCAGTTTTATTTGTTTTTACAGTTATTTAGAAAAATACTGTAAGCCTTTTATTTTTGATATCCCCAAAATAACCAAATGAGGCTAATTTATTGATTTACAACCAAAGATCATTCCGGTTATTACCTATGACTCTAAAAGGTGGTGACAACAAAAAATTGTTATCAAATCAATACATTTATCACTTCACTTAGAATTTATGAAAAATCTAACTCAATTCGTATAATTCGTTTCAAATAATGTAAGGGCGTACTGCCATTGCCCATCCGAATGAACGCGGGACAACGTCTGGACCCTTCTCCCACAGTATAATTTTATCGATTTCCTATTTGTCGCCGTCGACGACGTCGTAGCAAACAGAAAATTGCCATTACCAGAATGGTCTGCAGCAGCGCTAAATGTAGCGAATGTTTCGATCAGTTTTCGTTTTTTACTGCCAGGTGCATAGTTAACGTTAAAATATGCGTAATTAACGTTATGATTATTAATTACTAATATTAAGTATCTCCATAAATAACTGCATTAAAAACAATTTATTGTAATTTACATTCCTAACATGTTAGACATAAACCGAAACATTTTTATGTATTTCTAACTACAAAATTATTTCTAATTTTCGAGATTTTGACAAATCTAAGAAAATTTAAATTTAAATGTTTAAGAAAAAACAATGTAAATATAAATTTTTAATCTCATACTTTAATGAAATTTACAACGTATGTGCTTGGAATCTTAAAACACACACCATTGCAAAAGCAATACGTTCGTCGCTTTACATAAAATCGAAAATGTTATTTGGAAAACAAATCACTAATAGAAAAATAATATATAATAAAGATTTAAATGTAGATACAGAATAAAAGCTAAATAGAATAGGTAGTTTAAATATCGTTTAAGTATGACTAGCACACAAGTTTAGGTAATTTTATCATGGTTATGATATAAAAATAAACTGTAAAATATATAAAAAAAAAATATACTGACATAAAAAATTATCTTACCTTTGCATCCTAAAAAGTAAAATAAAATAATTTTAACTTAATAAATATGAATACTTAAATTTTATTATAAGATAAAGCTTGAAATATTATAAAATATATTATTTAGGTACATATTACCATTAACCAATTATATCATAGTTATGTCATATCAATTTGTAAAACGTATTAACTATAATTTACTGATTTAAAATCTCTTACTATAAACTTCTGAAAACAAATATAAAATCTGCATTAAGTTTATTATTTAATATTTAAAATATTTTTAGTGTTACGTATATTTTAAATTATAATATAAAACACTATGGTGGATCGTGGGATTTATCATTTCAATATTTGGCGTAATTTAAAATGAATGAATTGTTAAAGTCTATGTACTTTTTATGTATTATTATTTTTTATTTAAATTGCGGACGACTTAACATTCTGTGTTTTATTTTATGTACAGCCATACAAGTGCGTTGATATGTATATGATTATGAACTCCATATTATGTGTAAAACTGAATTGTACTGTGTAATTTTACAGTATCTTTGTATGTAAACCAAATAATATTTGAATGTAGTTATTGAGTGCACACACAGTCGTCTTTGATTATACAGAGACCCTTAGGAATACAGAGTTCTTAAACCATTAAAAAAAAAAAAGCTATTGTAAACTTATTGCATAAAATATGATGTATCATCCGAATTATATTATAATAAATTGATTTTTAAATACAGATTTAAAATGTTCAAGTATTTTAATATTATCCTAATATTCAATATTAAAATCAATCAATATAATTTATTTATTCAAAATAGTAAACTAGAGTAAATAATATATATAATTATTAAATAATATATAGCAACTATAATTTATTTATTTATTAATTAAAAATTATCGGATTATGCACATTGAATAAAAATAGGTAAATAAATACAAATATCGGAATATAATACTATAAGTTGTGTGAATAACAATAGTTATAATAATAATACAATAATGAAATTCAAAAAAAGCTAAATTAACAGTGATGTTGTGTAAATTTGTGTTGTTTCATTTTAAAATAATAAATTTATAACCTAATTTTTACTTAAACTTTTTAATCCCCAATAGTCAATTATTTAGAAATACAATATTTATGTACTAATTATTGTAGTTTTTACCTCTAATATATTTTCTATAGGCAGTTTCAACAAGCTCTTCACCACAGTGGCTTATATTAATTATAAAAGTTAATATTATTAAAACTTTATATGAAATCATAGTTTTATGCTTAGATAATTAAAAAAAACGAGTACAAATTTTCTTTACGAAAAACAAACCGAAAATGATCGCATTCAGCATATGTACTATGATAATGTATATACCAAAACAAAGCCTATTTATTTTGGATTATATACATTAAAACAAATAAATAAATATTTTATGTATTTAATTTAAAGACATCTGTTTTAACAATCAAAATGAAAAAATGTAATGTTAGGTGGCAGAAATATGTTAACTTAATTAATAATGTTAAATGGTACACATGTGTAAAAGTAAAATTTAAAATATGAAATAAATTGAAGCTAAACTAAATTCTTAAATACTTAGATTTAATTAAAGGATATTATATCAAATTTTGATTTACATTATTTGGTTCAACAACAATTGAAAAGTCTTGATAAGCCACAGCTTTTTCTCCACACACTTACAAAAGTGAAATGAATATAAGCTGTTATTGATTTTACATTCAAAATATTTTGACACAGCTTTTACTATTTTTATTTTATAGTTAATACCAAGAGAATAACAATGATATAAGGTTCATTTCATACACACCAATTAACAACTTTTTACCATTATTATCAGTTTACTGGTATTTGTTTTATGTACATTCTCAGTTTCTAAACTAAGTTTTATAGCTTATATTATGTATTATATAGTAATAAATAAAGTTTACATCATTTAATCAGTTTTGTTACATTATTTATATCGCTTAATTTCTATAATGTATGCTAAAATAAAATTTATATATTCAAATATATAAAACATGTACATGGGAATTCTAATGAATCATAATTTAATTCTATTACAATACGATGATAATATATATTATTCATGTAATAAATATGCTTATAAAAATAAATATAAATATAATTATATGCAATAACCTATACAGTTTTATGTTTTACATTTTCTTACATAACAATTTGGGATTAATTACTCTTTGATTTATTTTTTTTATAAATTGTTCCGACATATTTACAACAGCAAAGATAATTTTGTTCATCAGTGGTAGATGGAAGATTAATATTAGTGATATATTATTTTCCTTTCATCAGCCAGATTTGATAATGTTTCTTAGCTATATAAGTTTTTATAAATTTAAATTTAAATTTTCTTTATCAATCATTATATATTATTAAATTAAAAAATTCACAAAGAACCTTAGAATTATTTATTGCTCTTACATCTAAGGTAAGATATAATTTTTAAGAATTGAACCTTTATTTCGAATATCAAAAAAATAAAAACAAATTGGAAGTGATACACAATCACCGACATCTTGGGTTAATAAATAATCTTCTAAGAAAGTTAAAAAATATCATTAAATAATAACAAGCGAACTGAAAATTTAAATATAACTAAGACGCCCATAGTAAAATTATGTTTTTAAAACATAAAGGAAAGAAGATTGATTTTAAATAAGATTCTATACATTTAATTTAAATATTACTAAACATTTGCCTGTATTTGCAATGATAACGCAAAAAATGTTTCATGCAAATTAAAGCAAAAATGTAAAAGTATTTACAATAAAATGTGCTGAAACGTAATGTGTAAAGAAGTCAGTAACAAAATATTACACATGAGGTAACTACTAATAATATGTATTGTATAACCATATATAAAATAATATGTATAAACAACAAATGGTATACTATTTTATTGGCATAACATTTGGTTAACGTGACATAATATAGGTTACCAATGTTATACAGTGGTCGCCGTTTATTATAATCACGGTTAATGTTATCAATCGTTTATTGTTATCGAAAAGTGTAAGTACGGGCCGGATCTATACTTATATGTGTAAATTATGTCGGTTTTTGTAATCAATACGCCGCATAATATTATCAGTTTGAGTTCATAAAATCATAATTTTGTAACATACAATCAAATTTTTCGTCGAATGTCTCATAATAAAGATAAAAATTGTAATAAAGATATAAATGTCTATATACTATACACATTGATATCACATTTATATCTATCTTTCGTTCGTATACATATTATACATATTTATTTATTTACATTTAATTTTTTTTTTTAAATTTTAAATTTCCAATTTATACCTACGTACGTATATGTACTTTATTTATAAATAAATAATAATAAATAAAAAAATTATATTTTTATTAACTATGTATTTAACGTAGATTTTATTATTTTTTATAATTTTTTTAACTTTCGTTTAATGTTATCAATCGGATTATGTTATCAGTTATGTCCCGTACCAAAGTGATTACATTAAGCGGCGATCACTGTACATCTTTTGTATTTCAAAAAGTTATCGTATAAAATATAAACTATTAGATAATGTGTTGAAATAAAAAGAATAATTAAAAAGCGCGCTAAATTGTATTAAAAAAAAAAATATTTAAATCAAGATACAGATTTTCCAAGTCGGGTGTTTTTCGGTTTTTATTATCTTTATTGTTTCTGAGAATCTGAAGTAACATAGGTACTCAGACCAATCATGTCAATAGCTTGGATAAAAAATTTAATAGGAGTACTTTTCGTTTGTAAAGACCATGGTATAGGTAAAAACGGGCAAGACTATGTTTACCCAATTATCACTTTTTACTTTTTGCCCAAATATTTAAAAAAAAATATTAAATACATTAAAGCAAAACTCAAATTTTGAACTGATAAGATTTACTTACGAAATGTATTTAAGTATATAATTAATTGCTAATAAGTCAAAATTAAAGAGTTATTTAATTTTAGCTCTTATTTAACATATATGAGTGATGTAAAATCGCTAAAACTACTGATAATCTTAATAACTTTTTTTAAATTTCGCTTTTTTTATCATTCAAAATATATATGTTTCAAAAGAAAACCATAGATAATTTTGAATATTATTTATGAACAGCATTAAGTGTAGAGAACCGAAATATTATCCAGGTGTATATAATGAATCATTGATAAGAATTTATCTAAATAAAAATTTTCTTCAGGGTTTTGATTAAGACATAAGATAAATGAGCTTTGTGCAGAAACAAAAAATAAATAAAGCAATTATTTGTATACTTGGGACGAAAAACGAGCTTAAAGATTCATTAACTTTTTTTATTTACAATTAATCAGTTTTTTTCTCTAAAACATAAATTAGGTAGCAAATATAAATTACACCACTGATTTATAAATGTTTTCAAATTAGTACTATTTACTTTTATTGAAAAATATACACAATAAAAATTGTTTTTGAATGCATGTTTAGTTTTAATTTGATTCATCATTCAACACAGTAATTACATAATATAATATGTAGATAAGTAAAATTATTAATATCAATTATCTAAAAATATTTTTCAGTAATAAATAATCAATGTTGGCATTGAAATCTATTTTAGTAATAAAATCTTTACAAAGCTCAGAATTTTGAAATATATTTAGTCCGCTGAAATGTGTAAAAATAGGTAGTAAAAGTATCAACAAATATATTATAATATAATATTCAATTATACACAGCATGCACTTAATGTACTGAAATGTATATAACAATTCAACACAATACACATAATACATAAAAGAATAAAATTATTAAATACTTCCTACATATTATATTATAGCCTATAGGATACATAGCAATTCTACGGCCAGCTGTAATACACGTTTTTATGTTCACACACGTGTATATTATATTATTTGATCAGTCATACGCCAGTTGAAGCCTACAAACAAGTGCAGCGGGTCAATATTTGTACATATTGTACGCGCTATACCACAATGAAATTTTAACCAAATTTTACTTCGTTAATATTAAATTCAAGATTTTAATAATTTTAAAGCAACATAAGACAACAGTAAAACACGCAATATTACGGATTGTAATATGTACGTAGGTACGAATTAATATAGAACAGATAACTGATGAGTCCAGATAGAACATATATGTAATGAACCGTAAACTATTTAGATAAGCTAGTGTATGTGGAAAAACCAAAATAATGTTATAATATGACTTATATTTAATATGAATATCAACCATTTTTATGTTTAAAATAATTTTTATAATACAATCGACAACGTCGAAAATTAGTTTTGTGTGGAATCGTGTTAATGAAAAGGTTAGGTAATCGTGAATCGTCGCATAAAATATTATATTGCCATTGAAAATCATTGACCGTAACTGATAATCATTTACCTCAAATCTTAGAAATAATAATTACAATAACATAGATAGTGTCTACACTCTTCACACACATTCAAATGTATTAAAAAGGAATCAGTTTCTGTCGATTGTGTTTTGAAGTGATAAAGTTTTAGGTCAATACTAACAACGATAAACCTTTTTTTCCAAAACTAGACATTGACTGGCACTCGACGAGTGTGGTCATTGTTAATATTTATTATTTATGTTTATTCATAAATATAATTGAATTATTTAAAAAAAAAATAATAGTAGATATACAAAATATATAACGAGAATAGTTAGTTTACTAACACGTCGAGTCCTACAATTTTCATTACAAAATGTAATTTATAATACGGATAACATAAAAAATTGTATTTCACATTAAATGGTTCTCAATTTTAAAATGATAAAAATAAATCTCATAAAAAAAAATTTGCAAACCTAAAAGAATATTTTATATAAATATTTATACAAGTAATTAATTTCTACTCAGAAATATAAACATTTCTATAAAGTTTGATAATTATAAATATTAATTTATTAATATTAGCAAATAACTTTTTTAAATTATATAAAAGATGATGAGTTAAATAATATTATAACATTTATGATATTTGTAAGAACTGCAATCAAAAAACCCAGAAATATAAATTGCAAATCTATTTGAACAATCAAAACAAGAACCTAAATAAAATGGTGAACTTAATTTGAATAATAGACATTAGACGTAAAAAAAAAAAATTAATGCATAATATTTGGCATTTATAAAATTGGAATTTTATAATAATAACCATAAAAGTATTTAATTTATTAAATGTATCTTAATGTTGGATTTGAAAAAAAAAATATTAAATTCTGTGGTAATGCCATATATTGGTTATTTATATAGAAGCCAGTGTGCGTTATTTGTAACTATGTCATAATAATGTGTTGCTGAATTTATGTAATTGTCAAGAAAAAGTCTGCCTAATTCATGAAATCAGTAATGAAAATTTGCCGATTTCATGAGTTATATAGTTAATTTGTCAATTCACGTATTCGGCAAAAGCGTTGCTTATTTCATGAAATCGTCAATTTTTCTGTCGATTTCATGTAATCGGAAATTTAATAAATTCGGCATAACATATACACCAAAACAGTGCCTATTTACTTTGAAGTATTTAAATATTTTATGTATTTATTTCAAAGACATTTGATTTAAAATCCAAATGAAACATTATAATGTTAAATGGCATGCATATATGTAAAGTGAAATAAAAAATAAATTATATATTTTGAAGCTACAACCAATTTTTGAATTTCGATATTTTATTATAGCATGTAGTTGGTATAATTGAATAATTCAATATGTATTCTATATTATATTAAATTTAGATGCACACTGTTTAGTTTCAATTCATTGAACGATTTTGAATAAACTCCAGTTTTTTCCATCATAAATAAGTGACATAGTTTTTAATTGATTTTACACTTCAAATATTTTGAAACAGCTTTTAGTATTTCCATTTTATACCAAATGTAATTTGTTAATTATAATTCTATTACATTACGGTGCTACATTATTTATGCAATAAATACCTATAAAGTTTTATGTTTTACATTTTCTTACATAACAATATGGGATTAATTACTCTTTGATAGCAGCATGTTGTTTGTGATTTTATAGACATAATTCTTTTTTTTTTTTTTTAAATTGTTCCGACATATTTACAACAGCAAAGATAATTTTGTTTATCAGTGGTAGATGGAAGATTAATATTAGTGATATATTATTTTCCTTTCATCAGCCAGATTTGATAATGTTTCTTAGCTATATAAGTTTTTATAAATTTAAATTTAAATTTTCTTTATCAATCATTATATATTATTAAATTAAAAAATTCACAAAGAACCTTAGAATTATTTATTGCTCTTACATCTAAGGTAAGATATAATTTTTAAGAATTGAACCTTTATTTCGAATATCAAAAAAATAAAAACAAATTGGAAGTGATACACAATCACCGACATCTTGGGTTAATAAAATAATCTTCTAAGAAAGTTAAAAAATATCATTAAATAATAACAAGCGAATTGAAAATTTAAATATAACTAAGACGCCCATAGTAAAATTATGTTTTTAAAACATAAAGGAAAGAAGATTGATTTTAAATAAGATTCTATACATTTAATTTAAATATTACTAAACATTTGCCTGTATTTGCAATGATAACGCAAAAAATGTTTCATGCAAATTAAAGCAAAAATGTAAAAGTATTTACAATAAAATGTGCTGAAACGTAATGTGTAAAGAAGTCAGTTACAAAATATTACACATGAGGTGACTACTAATAATATGTATTGTATAACCATATATAAAATAATATGTATAAACAACAAATGGTATACTATTTTATTGGCATAACATTTGGTTAACGTGACATAATATAGGTTACCAATGTTACAAAACTTTTCTATTGTAAAAAGTTATTGTATTTGATAATAATATGTTGAAATTAAAAAACTTGCTAAAGGTTATTTTAACAAATTTTTTAATTGCATAAGAAACAACATTATCTTATAAATTTGAAATTACAGTAAAATATGATAAAGAGATCGACTTCAGGTGTCTTCATTGCACTAGATACATCAAAAGAAACTATTTTCTAAACTAGATCAGCGTTTCCTAAACTTTTTTATATAATTTAATACCTACTGTTTTCTAGATTTTTATCTATTTTAGGATTATTTGCAATAAAAATTATAATATTATTTAACACAATAACAATGTGTTGAAGATATTTAATTTATTTTTCGTATTTTTTACATATCTTATTAATGGATTTGAAAAAAAAAACATTTTTTTATTTATTATTTTATATTTTGTTTTGTTTTTATTATTGTTACCTATGTATAAGTACTATACGTATAGATATTTTAACAGTATTATTGAAGTGTGCGATAACATAACATCTCTTGGAATTATATTTGGGTATCGAACGATTATTGACCCTCTACAGGCAAGGCCCGGTCACGGGTGACCGGACTGAAATAAAACACTAATAACTAGATTATATTATTAACTACTAGGCACCGGTTTATCCCATACCCTTTTATAGATAAGCCCACCGCTCGCCTGATATATTTTTGTTTATCTACTATACCTCAGTGCGCTTCCAGCTTTCGAAGAAGTTAAATCGTTCATGTCGTCGGTCACGGACGACCACGCTTGTCTATCACGTAAGTTTTTTTTAACCTATTCTGTTTTATATTCTATTTCTGTTTGGTATTTTTGTAATATTTCTATTTTTTTTTTTTTTGTATTCAGTATGGACACACTTCTTAAAAACGTCGATGAAATTACAGCAGAGCTTTACCGACAGTTGGATGAAGATGATATGTCCGATGCCGATGATTCGTCGAGTGAAACAGAAGATCGTGTTTTAGAAAACGATAACGTCGTAGCAGACGACTTTCAATTATCGTCTGACGAAGAGTATGATGAAGAAATAGAGGCGGATCGTGAGTTTTTTTTGGGAAAAGACCAAGAAACTATTTGGTCATCTCAACCGCTTAGCTCAAAGTATTCCAGAACTCCTAGTCGTAATCTAGTCATACGCTTGCCCGGGCCGAAAGGGGACGCGAAAGGTGAACTCATAGAGGTCAATTGTTTTTCTCTTTTTTTGACAAATTATATGGTAGAAAAAATTGTACAATATACGAACGAAGAAATCTCGATTAGATCTCAAAATTATGCAACTAAACAGTATTATTTAGGACCCACTAATGTCATTGAAATTCGGGCAATTATCGGACTTTATTTGAAAGCAGGGATATATCATGGAATATCCATGGCCGATTCATTCTCGGTTGAAAACGGTCCTCCGTTATTCCGTGCGGTAATGTCATTCAATCGTTTTAAATTTTTGACATATTGTTTACGGTTTGATAGCAAATTAACGAGAAATGAGTGACGAGTGGTTGACAAGTTCGCAGCATTTCGAGAGATGTGGGACTTATTTACTATTCAGTGTAAAAATAATTACACCCCGTCGGAATATGTCACTGTAGACGAAACATTATTGTCATTTCGGGGACGATGTCCGTTTAAAATGTACCTACCAGCAAAACCAGACAAGTACGGTCTCAAAATTATTTCTATCTGCGATGCCAAAACTTTTTATTTTTATGGAGGAATCCCGTATATTGGCAAAGAAACACGCAACCGAAATGATTTACTTATACCTACCCAATATGTTCTGAACCTAGTGGAACCAATTATGGGAACAAACAGAAACGTCACAACCGACAACTGGTTCACCTCTATTGAATTAGCAGAACAGTTACGTGTTAAAAAACTGACATTAGTAGGTACGTTGAGAAAAAATAAACGCGAAGTTCCTCCACACATGCTAGTCGTAAAAAATTTACCACCAATGACCACAAGATTTCTGCATGCACCTGAGATGACATTGTTGTCTTTCTCAAAAACCAAAAATAAAAACGTTTTAGTGCTTTCGACAATGCATGAAACTGAGACAATAAACGAAATATCGAAAAAACCGGAACAAATCGAATTCTACAATAAAACAAAAGGAGGTGTTGATGTATTTGACAAACTTTGCCACCAATATTCTTCAACCAGAAAAACCAACCGATAGCCATTACGATATTTTAATGGACTTTTGGATGCAGCCGCTGTAAATGGATACGTCATATTCAAACACAATAACTTGAACCAAGACAAACGTTTTATACGATCAAAATTCATAACAACATTAGCGTTCCAATTGCTGGAACCACAATTGAAAGTACGCCAAGAATGCCCTTTTTTACCAAAGGATTTGAAAAAAACTATTGAAAAAATATTGAAAATACAACCAATTGAAAGTGCAGCACCATCTGGAGTAAATCGTCACCGCGGTCGTTGCGAATTTTGCCGAAAAATGTCTGTGGATCGCAAAGGCACTTCAAACTGCACTAAGTGCCATAGGAGTTTATGTGCCCAGCATAGGCTAAGCATATGTTCAACATGTGACATAAAATATCAGTTATTAGAAGAAGAAATTATGATGGAATAATAATAGGTATTATTTTGTTTTATTTATGTTTTTTTGTTAATTTATAAGATACAAGATTTTTTTTTTGTTACAAGATACAAGTTGTTTTATGCTTTTGTTAGTTGTAGTTTGTTTTAGTTAATTATGATAAGTAAAAATAAAGAGAATTTATAAAAAAGTTTGATTATTTCTAATATAAAATTACATTGGTCACCCGTGACCGCCCTTGTCTGATCTGTTGGGATTTATAGCCTTGCCTGTGGAGGGTTGAGAATGTTTACTTTTTTTTGTTTTGAACGGTTGAGGAGTACGCTTGTAATTAAAAAAAAGTCGTTGTTGACTAGAGAAACTAATAAGATTAAGTTCGATATAATAAGTAAATGTCTAAACACAAACTTTAGAATACGAGTATATGAAAAATGTCCTTTTTTAAATTTATTTTCTGATATACACTCAGAGACGGTGTTCGCGCAAGTTATCGAGTACGATAACTTCAAATAGATTTTATTGCCGCCCTAATCGCGACTCCTCTCTTCTGGGGTCGATGGCCCTATGATATGCTATTTTAAAACCGATTGCCCGACAGTAAAAAACGGATTAGTAGGTCAACGGCCCTCACAATCACATATCTTTACGGAATTATACCCGCCGTAAAGATTACGTACAGATATTGCCCTACCAAAAGTGATATAGGGTCATTGGCCACTAATTTCGGATAGCGTATTTTTTGGGTGTTGTCGGAGACACCGGCATGAAGAATAGTGACTCCTCCGTGCAACGCCTTGGTGGTAACAAGGCCTCCTCTGTGCGACGCCTTCGTGGTAACAAGTGGTCGGCACGTTGCCGCCTCAGACCGTCTTGTGAACAGTGTCCAAGTATCCAAGTGTGCGCCTGTTTTAGATTTTTACCTTCGCATAGGTCGGTTTTCTTGTGTTTGAAATCAAAACGGTTACACCTCTCACGTTCCGAACCGTATATATATATATCGTTGTCGCGATCTCCGCACTTCGTTAAACTTAAATATATATATATATACATTGTATTGCGGTATTAGTTTGGTACTGATCCGTATATATATATATATATATATCGTTGTCGCGATCTCTGCGCTTCGTTAAACTTAAATATATATATATATATATATATACATTGCCTTGAGGTCTTCGTCTAAAATTGAGGCTGTGTCGTTCCGATCGTCGCTAAATTAATATAACATTACAACGCGACTTCCGCTGTGTACCGATCGGTCGACGTGTGTGAATTGCAACTTGCAAGTGTTGTCTACTATCAGCTTATTATCATTGTTTTGGTTGTCTGTTGTTATATATACCGTCGTGCTCAAGAAGAAACAGCTGACCAGTGGCCTGACTGTCGCCGTCAATTGGTCACCTGCCAACGACAACATCGGCATAGGAACGGAGTCACGTAAATACTGTCATTATTTTCATATCTTATTTTTATATATAGAAATTGTACCACGATTGTTTAGATCGTATTTGGCCGAATATTATTATTATTATTTCTTATTATTCTTATTATTATTATTATCACCACGACGAAAGTGATTGTGATATCTGTTAGTTTATTATCAATCATTGTATAAACTGTCAACATTTCGTCGTTGGAGATACGTTAATTTATACGTTTTAACATTATAATTGTGTAATCCATACTTTAAATACGACTCGAATGTTTATATTTTGTATGGTCACCTCTCTTTAAGCAATTATCCACGGTTATTCCTAGTTCACCTTTCGGTGGTGTAGTCATCGAGGCCGACCACAGATTCGTAGGAGCCTCGTGGCTAAACAGACGGGCTAGTTTGAATTTGATGGGAGTAACTAGTTTATAGGTACCGTGACTTGGCAATTTTTAATTGGTTGTAACAGTAAGTAACAGATATAGTCTACATTTGTTAGTTACTTAATTCAAATTAAGTAATAACAAATCATTTGATTAATTTTGTTTATTTTTTAAAAGAAAATATAAACATAACTAGTTATTTATTAGTATATGCATTGATAATGCGAAAAATGTTTCATTAAAATTAAAGAAACAGTTTAAGAGTTTTTACATTGAAATGTAGTAAAATGTAATGTGTAAAGAAGACGGTTACAAAATATTACACATAAAGTGACTATTCTAATATGTATTGTACAAACATATCACATAAAATAAATTATGTTTAAACAACATATGGTAAATTATTTTATTGTCACAAAATGAGGTTCACGTGATATATAGCTTACCATTGTCGCAAACTTTTTTTATTGAAAAAAGTTATTGGATTTAATAACGAATTGAAGTAAAAAATAAATTAAAAAGTTTGTTAAATTATATTTGTATAAATATTAATTTATAATTTATAATATTTGATCGGTGGTATCTAATTCATTAGAATTAGATTATTTAATTAAACAAAATAAACCATGCTCGTGTAAGGTAGTTTGTATTGTGTGCAAGTGTTGTGTTCATTTGTTTTCATGCACATGTTATGACTACAGTATTAAAAACAATATGTGTAAGCATATACACGCTGTTCGAATGAATTCAATATTAATTAAAAATGAAAATGAAAATGAAAATGTAAGTATGCCGTATGGATATAATATGCAATTACATAGAAAATGATGAAGTGTGTATGAAAATGTGTACTGCGCAACATCTAACTATACCATTTACTGAATCCATTGCTAATAAAATTTAGCAATTGTATAGTATGTTTGTGTCACAGGCAGGCACCCTCGATGACCTACAACTTAAAAAAATAAACACTACAGTAGATGCAAGCTTAAAAGTTCTATATCATTGACATTGTAGTTTGTACTATATAAATTAATTATAGTAAATCTTCATAAATCTTATAATATAAAACCAAAACGAGCTTCCCGAAAAATCCGCCAGAACGCGGGCACTTTAGTGTCCCGACCAATCGAAAAATTCCGTTTTTTTTCTTCCAGTCGTCGTGTCCCATATCTCCCCGTCGTTATCGTTTCTCCAACAGGTCCCGACCAATCGAAAAATTCCGTTTTTTTTCTTCCAGTCGTTGTGTCCCATATCTCCCCGTCGTTATCGTTTCTCCAACAGCCGTCGTTATCGGTTCGGTTATTGCTCATTTGCTCATTACTCATTATTATTGTTTTTATATACCGTTTTTTCCGCTTTTCGCCCGGTTTTCCGGCCTTTCGAGACCTCTTTCCGTCGCGTTCTCGACGCTGTAGCCCGGAGCGGGTCTTTTTCGTCCGGTCCGCGCGTCTCCGGATTTCGTTCGCGTCCGGAAAAGCGTACTCGCGGCGCGTTCTCCGGTCGGTCGTCGTATCGTCAATACTGTTTTTTTTTTTTACGATACGATAAATCGTTTATCCGTATCGATTACGCGTTTTTTTGTTTTCGGTGTCTCCGCCCTCGGACGCCTCCGCGACCTTATCGTCTCGATAGCGTACGAAATACGATTATATATGTGTATATATATATAATAATAATATCATCTAAAAAAGAACCGTGCGTACCGTTATTGACGTACGTCAGATTATGTTTATTATATACAAAAAAATCGCAAAATCGTTGCTCTTCAGTCGTTGTAATGCCTTTAATCGCATACCTTTGGGGGGATATCGTGATACGTGTATGTGATAATAAACTCGATACGTCGTTAAGACGTATACGATTAAAAAATGTAAACGAATATGTCGGAAACATTCTAAACGACAATAAATATGCGATTTACAGTTTCGTGACACGCGAATCGTAAAAATTGTACGGGTTAAACTGAATTTTCAATGGCGATCGCTTGAAAAATCGAGCGCTCGATTCGACTTAAACTTTTTTGTGTACTAAACGGCACAACGCTTTCGACGTCAGGAGGTATGACATGAGGTATTGCCTTGTCAGGAATCGATATTCACTGACGATGACTGATAACTAGACTAGATTAATTACCTTTTCGAATGTATTTATTTATTTTCCATGCAAAAAAGCACAGGGCGTACGGGACAAGGTGTATTTTCCGTAAATTTAATGAAATAACCCACCACTAAACGTTCGAATTGGACTTATATACATATATATATTATAAGATTATTTTACGCGTTTAAACGACACCGCCAAAGTGTAAACCACCAGCAATACGTAACCGAACGAAGCAATAACAGC